GGCTAGCATTCTACCACTTGAGCCACAGCACCACTTCTGGCTTTTTTTCTTTTTGCTTATGTGGTGCTGAGGAATTGAACCCAGGGCCTCATGCATGAAAGGCAAGTGCTCTACCACTGAGCCACCTTCCCAGCCCCTCAACTCTTTTTTATACTGTAATTTATTTGTTAGAGAAATCAGGTCTTAGCTGGGTGTGGTGCACTATTCCTATAATCAGTTCTGGAGGATTTAGTAGGTGGAAGCTAGCCAGAGGTACACAAAGAGCCCCTATCTCAACATACATACAAACATAAATTAGGTCATCCTCTTTAGAGAATGGTAAACTCTGGCGTCTCAGACCACTTCCTGTTGAGCAAGTGAGGAAAGGAATGTTGAGTTTGTGAGAGCAATGGCATTTTAGAGGGGCTTGAAAATTGCTAGCGCATTGGTAAGAAAACATTGTTATCATTAATTGGCTGTAAGAACTGAAGTTAGTGGAGGGTAAGAATAGAGACTAGAAATGTGTGGGGTTGAGTGTTGGCCTCTAAAAAGTTGCATTCTGAGCTGGGCACTGGTGGCTTATACCTGTAATCCTACCAATTTAGGAGACTGAAATCTGAGGATCACAGTTCAAAGACAGCCAGGCAGGAAAATCTTATGAGACTCCAATGAACTACTCAGAAAGAACTGGAAGTGACACTGTGGCTCACGTGGCAGAGCACTAGCCTTGAGCAAAATAAGCTCAGAGACAGTGCCCAGGCCCTGAGTTCAAGCCCCAGGACCAGAAAAGAAAAAGAAAAAAAAAGTTGCATTCTGATCCTAGCAGCCTAGGATCAGACATTTGGAAGACGTGTGTGTGTGCGCGCGCGCGTGCGTGCGCGCGCACGCACATGCACACGCGCACGCACACACACACACACACACACACACACACACATGCATTAGTACTGGGGTTTTAACTAAGAGCCTGTACGCTGTCCCTTCACTTTTCACTCAAAGCAGTTGGTCTGGGCTGGGAAGTTGGCTCAGTGGTAGAGTGCTTGCCTTGCATGCATGAAGTCTTGGGTTCAATTCCTCAGCACCACATAAGCAGAAAAAAGCCAGAAGCGTTGCTGTGGCTCAAGTGGTAGGGCACTAGCCTTGAGCTGAAGAGCTGAGGGACAGTGCCCAGGCCCAGAATTCAGCCTCCAAGACCAACAACAACAAAAACAAGCAAGTACTCTACCACTTGAACCACAGATCCTCTTGTTTTTTTGGTGGTCAATTGGAGATAAGAATCTCAGGGAATTTTTTGCCCAAGACAGCTTCAAACCAGGATCTTCAGGTCTCCTGAGTGGCTAGGATTATAGGCATGAGCCACCTGCATCTGGCTCATATCCTTTTTATTGAGACAATATTAATATTCACATCCACTACATCCATTCCCACCAGGGGTAAAGTTATCATGAAGCTAATGAAACTTCAGAGTCCCTCTCCTGTGCTGGCCCCACACTAGGAGTAGTAAGAGGAAGTCGGTTGTTCTGCTGGGAATCAAACCTGTGTACTAGATAAGGTCTACTACTCAACCACATCCTCACACATGGAGAAGCTTCCCTCTCCCCTCCCCCCATCTTAGGGCTTGAATTTAGGGCCTGGGCACTATCCCTGAGCTACTTTTGCTCAAGGCTAACACTCTACCACTTGAATCACAGCACCCCTTCTGGCTTTTTCTGTGTGTGTGGTACTGAGGAAATGAACCCAGGGCATCATGCATGATAGGCAAGCACTCTACCACAAAGCCATATTCCCAGCCCTCCAGAAGCATTTTTATGAAGCATTTCTATTTATTTTTGGGGGGGGTTTCCAGTCGTGGGGCCTGAACTCTGGGCCTGGGTGCTGTCCCTCAGCTCTTCAGCTCAAGGCTGAGCACTCTACCACTTGAGCCACAGCGTCACTTCCAGCTTTCTGCTTATGTGGTGCTGAGGAATTGACCCAGGGCCTCATGCATGCAAAGCAAGTGCTCTTCCACTGAGCCACCTTCCCAGCCCTGAAGCATTTCTAATAGCCTAAGGAGATCTCAGAAGAGTCCTGAATCTCCAAGTCTTGAGCTATTTGTTATGATTTATTTTCTCTTTAAATATTAATATTTTTTTTGGCTGGCCCTGGAGCTTGAACTCTGGCCTTGGGCACACCATGAGCTTGGGTACATCCTGAGCTTTTGTGGTCAAGGCTAGCACTCTACCACTTGAGCCACAGCTCCATTTCTCACTTTTTGTGTTAATTGGAGATAAGAGTCTTATGGATTTTTCTGCCTGGGTTGGTTTTAAACCACAATCCTCAGATCTCAGCCTCCTGAGTAGATATGATTACAATTACAAATGCCTGGTTAAATACTAATTTTTTTAGTCAAAGTCTGTATTCTATTTCTTAGAGGTACCTCATATTGCAGGATCTATGAAACTGTATCCACTTTTGGCCCATTTACAAATTCCCTTAAGTAATCACCAATGTACTCAAGAGTCTATACAGTAGCACTCCCAAAGGAACCAACCATTCTAAGATGATGCCCTGTCTGCAGAGGAACAACTAGTAACACGAAGGTTCCTAAAACTATATGCCTGTAGTTACCACTAGGAAGCTTGTGGTTAATTTTTACTTGTTTGCATCCAAGGGTTGGCCTTTTTAGTCACATGGAAGTGCATAACTGTAAAAAATATCCTTGGGTATCTGATAAAGCACAAATTTGGTTTAGGGACCCTCTGAATTCCTATATGCAGCAATAATAGGATTCACAACCCAGCATTGGGCTGCAGGCTTTGATCGACCTTGTCAAACACCAAAGAGTACCTGAAATGGGGATCACCATCCCTACCCCCCACTCACTGCTCCTTAAAGACAATGTCCTCCCTCCATCCTTAGTAAAACGTGATGGAAAGTCCGATCCATAACAACTACTAGGTTATTTGTGGATGCAAAGCCACGTGAAGCCGCCAGGGGAAAAGTCACGTCTTACACCGTACTGAAATGGACGGACCCTGGTAGAAGTGGAGTATCAGGACGGAGTAGTTCTATTGGGGACTGGAAGGTCCACCAAAGCCCTGAGGGCCTAGGCCCTGCCTTATCTCCTCTTCAAGGACCTGCGGTTGGCTTCCCCAGGATGGAAGCTTACCCCTGCGTTCTTCACTTGCCCTTGTGCCCGTGGACCGTGGATCTTCAGCGATCTGAATCCCACCACACCCCAGGCCCGCCAGGACACCCCCCTCTCCCTTCCCCCTACCCCCTCCGCGGATTCGTTTTCTGAAGCCGCAGCCCCGGGAGGACTCTGTTCCAGCACCTGCAGGGCCCCAGTGCTGCCCAGGGAAACGTGGCCCAGGAGCCGTCACTCTATTCAGAAACGCCCCACCCATCCTGGCCAGATACACAAATCACTGTCCCCATGAGTGCGCCAGATCCAACCCAAGCGAGACTCTTCGTGGTTGGCCAAGGCCAGAGGCCAGGCAGCCCCAGCGCCTGGGCCACTGCCCAGTCCCACCTGCCAGTCCGCCAAGGCCCAGGCTGCGGTTGTCCCCGCCCCGTCCGGCTCCAGCTAAAACCCGGAGCGGAGCCACTGCACCCTGGCGCGGCGGACTGGGCATGCGCAGTGAGCAGGGCCGGCTCCCTGCGCCAGGTGGAAGCGTTCACCGTGGTCCCAGCGGCTGCGCTGGGTATGCGGTACCGGCTGGCGTGGCTGCTGCACCCCGCTCTGTCCAGCACCTTCCGCTCGGTCTTCGGCGCCCGCCTGCCGCCTCCGGAGTGTCTCTGCGGGTAAGCGGACCGAGCCCCCGGGCACTCGGGGCCCGTAGGTCCCGGTGGTTTGGCTCTCGGCTTGCAAAGTGGTGATTCAGCACTTAGAGCCGCCGCCGCCGCCCCTCACGCTGCCAGTGCCCGCCGGCCTGGGGCGCGGGTGTCCGCACGGACACCCCAGAAGGGCGGGAG